GCCGAGGGGGAGGGAGGCAAAGGGCGAGCCAGGGCAAGGGGAAAGGCCGGGCAGGAGGCAGAGGGGAGGAAAAGAGAGAGCGAGAGAGAAGAAAGGGAGAGGGGAGGAGCACGGCGCCACGCCGCACCGCACAGCGCATCACAGCCAGCGACAGGTGTGTGCGTGCGGGCAGGCGCTACACATCACAGCGCAGCACAGCGCAGCAAGGCCGCGTGCGTGCGTGCCTGTGGCAGCACATCACAGCACAACACAGCACAACACAGCGCAACACAGCACACACAGCACATCACATCAATGCACATCACAGCACATCACATCACAGCACACGCCGCTTGGCGCGTGTGTGTGTGTGTGTGTGTGCGTGTGCGTGTGCGTGTGCGTGTGCGTGTGTGTGTGTGCGTGCGTGCGTGCATGCGTGCGTGTGTGCGTGCGTGCGTGCGTGCGCGCGTGCGTGCGTGTGCGTGCGTGCGTGTGCGTGCGTGCGTGCGTGCGTGCGTGCGCGTGCGTCCGTGCGCGCGCGCGTGCGCGCGTGCGTGCGTGCGTGCGTGGGCGAGGGCGAGAGCGTGGGCGTGGGCGTGGGCGTGGGCGTGGGCGTGCGTGCGTGCGTGCGTGCGCGCGTGCGCGCGTGCGTGCGGGCGGGCGCGTGTGTGTGTGTGTGTGTGTGTGTCTGTGTGTGTGGTGTGTGTGTGTGTGTGTGCGTGTGTGTGTGTGTGTGTTTGTGTGTGTGCGTGTGCGCGTGTGCGCGTGTGCGCGTGTGCGCGTGTGCGCGTGTGCGCGTGTGCGCGTGCGCGCGTGTGCGCGTGTGCGCGTGTGCGCGTGTGCGCGTGTGCGCGTGTGCGCGTGTGCGCGTGTGCGCGTGTGCGCGTGTGCGCGTGTGCGCGTGTGCGCGTGTGCGCGTGTGCGCGTGTGCGCGTGTGCGCGTGTGCGCGTGTGCGCGTGTGCGCGTGTGCGCGTGTGCGCGTGTGCGCGTGTGCGCGTGTGCGCGTGTGCGCGTGTGCGCGTGTGCGCGTGTGCGCGTGTGCGCGTGTGCACGTGTGCGCGTGTGCGCGTGTGCGCGTGTGCGCGTGTGCGCGTGTGCGCGTGTGCGAGTGTGCGCGTGTGCGCGTGTGCGCGGGTGCGCGGGTGCGCGTGTGCGCGTGTGCGCGTGTGCGCGTGTGCGCGTGTGCGCGTGTGCGCGTGTGCGCGTATGCGCGTGTGCGCGTGTGCGCGTGTGCGCGTGTGCGCGTGTGCGCGTGTGCGCGTGTGCGCCTGTGCGCGCGTGCGCGTGCGCGTGCGCGTGTGCGTGCGCATGTGCGCGCGCGTGTGCGTGCGCGTGTGCGTGTGCGTGTGCGTGTGCGCGTGCGTGTGCGGGTGTGCGTGCGTGTGCGTGTGCGTGTGCGTGTGCGTGTGTGTGTGTGCGTGTGCGAGAGCGTGTGCGTGTGCGTGTGCGTGTGCGCGTGCGTGTGCGTGTGCGTGTGTGTTGTGTGTTGTGTGGTGCGTGGTGTGTGTTATGTGGTGTGTGTTGTGTGTTGTGTGGTGTGTGGTGTGTGGTGTGTGTGGGTTGTGTGGTGTGTGTTGTGTGTTGTGTGCTGTGTGTTGTGTGTTGTGTGCTGTGTGGTGTGTGTTGTGTGTGGTGTGTGGTGTGTGGTGTGTTGTGTGTTGTGTGTGGTGTGTGGTGTGTGGTGTGGTGTGTGTGCGTGTGGTGTGTGTGGTGTGTGTGTGTGGTGTGTGGTGTGTGGTGTGTGGTTTGTGTGAGTGTGGTGTGTGTGTGTGGTGTGTGTGGTGTGTGTGTGTGATGTGTGTGTGTGTGTGTCTGTCTGTGTGTGCGTGTGCGTGCGTGTGTGTGTGCGTGTGTGTGTGTGTGTGTGTGTGTGCGCGTGCGTGCGCGTGTGTGTGCGCGTGTGCGCGTGTGTGCGTGTGCTGCGTGCGCGTGCGCGTGCGCGTGCTGTGCGTGCTGCGCGTGCTGCGCGTGTGCGCGCGTGCTGCGCGTGCTGCGCGTGCTGCGCGTGCTGCGCGTGCTGCGCGTGCTGCGCGTGCTGCGCGTGCTGCGTGTGCTGCGTGTGCTGCGTGTGCTGCGTGTGCTGCGTGTGCTGCGTGTGCTGCGTGTGCTGCGTGTGCTGCGTGTGCTGCGTGTGCTGCGTGTGCTGCGTGTGCTGCGTGTGCTGCGTGTGCTGCGTGTGCTGCGTGTGCTGCGTGTGCTGCGTGTGCTGCGTGTGCTGCGTGTGCTGCGTGTGCTGCGTGTGCTGCGTGTGCTGCGTGTGCTGCGTGTGCTGCGTGTGCTGCGTGTGCTGCGTGTGCTGCGTGTGCTGCGTGTGCTGCGTGTGCTGCGCTGCGTGTGCTGCGTGTGTGTGTGTGCGTGTGTGCGTCGTGTGCGTCGTGTGCGTGCGAGCGCGTGTGTGTGTGTGTTTTTGTGTGGATGTGTGTGTGTGTGGTGTGCGCGCGCGCGCGCGCGTGCGTGCGTGCGTGCGTGCGTGCGTGCGTGTGCGTGCGTGTGTGTGTGTGTGTGTGTGTGGGGGGGGGGGGGACGGGGGAAGGGGGGGAGAGGGGGGGAGGGGGGGAGGGGAAGGGATGGGGGGGGGCGGATATGCCGCCGAGGAGAGAGAAGGCAAAAGGCGGGTTTGCCGCCGAGGGGGGGATATGGATATGGCGGGTTGCCACCGAGGAGCGAAGGCGGGTTTTGCCGCCGAAGGGGGGGAAGGGGAACACAGGGGAGCTGAGGGGGGGAAGGGGAGGGAGGGGGAAGGAGGTGGAAGGGGAAGGGAGGGAGGGGGGCGAATGGGCAGCCTGCTTCCACCCCGTCCCCCCCGCCGCAGGCGCCCGCGCTGAAGGCGGCGCCGCGCGCGTGGACCTACGACGCCCCGTCCTGGAAAACTCAAAACCATGAAAACTGTTCGATACATTCCAACATGTTTCATATATGGTCGTATAGAGTAAAGCAAGAGAAAACGTGTCCCAAAGCCCGACGGCGATTTAACTGAGCTAATTGCTAAGTGAGATAGGGTGGTTTGTATGTGTCGGTAGAAATTGGCAGTGCGAACTGATACACATTTGCTAATATCATTGAATCTTCGAATAGTATGTACAGTATGTCACTGAAAACACCCGTATCTAGCACAGCCTTATGTATATGAAGCCTACGTTTACTACCTGATGAACTTTTGTGTATGTGAAATCATATGGTATGAATATGAATATATATATGTATACATATATATATATACACAATCTGTATATATATATATATTCGTTGAAACGACTTCATCGGCCATATAACGTTCTTACCGCACTTACAGCCACCGGACGATCTAAGTAGCGTCTTCACAAGGAATAGCGTCTTCACCAGGAATAGCGTCTTGACAAAGAATAGTGTCCTCACCCGGAATAGCGTCTTCACCGGGAAAAGCGTCCTCACCAGGAAAAGCCTCTTCACCTGGAATGGCGTCTTCACCAAGAATAGCGTCTTCACTGGGAATAGCGTCTTCACCTGGAATAGCGTCTTCACCTGGAATGGCGTCTTCACAAAGAAATGCGTCTTCACAGGGAATGGCGTCTTCACCGGGAATAATAGCGTCTTCACCTGGAATAACGTTTTCACACGGGAATAGCGTCTTCACACGCAATAGCGTCTTCACCCGGGATAGCGTCTTCACCGGGAATAGCGTCTTCACTGGGAATAACGTCTTCACCAGGAATAGCGTCATCACCGGGAATAGCGTCTTCACCGGGAATAGCGTCTTCACAGAGGCTATAGCGTCTTCACCTGGAATAGCGTCTTCACAAGGAATAGCGTCTTCACCGGGAATAGCGTCTTCACCAGGAATACCGTCTTCACTTGGAATAGCGTCTTCACCAGGAATAGCGTCTTCACAGAGGCTATAGCGTCTTCACCCGGCATAGCATCTTCACCGGGAATAGCGCCTTCTCCGAGAATAGCGTCTCCACCAGGAATAGCGTACTCACCGGGAATAGCGTCTTCACCGACTTCACCAGGAATAGCGTCTTCACAAAGAATAGCGTCTTCACAGGGACGCGTCGTCACAGGGAATAGCGTCTTCAAACAGCGTCTTCGGCGCCGGCTCGAACTGTGAACCCCAGCTACCGGGGCAATGTATATATATACACGTGTGTATATATATATATATATACATGTGTGTAGGCCAGTCGATCGATCGATATATATAGAGAGAGAGAAAGGGAGATTTGCCTATACATGTATCTACCTATGCGTCGATCTACGTGTGTATATATATATATTATAGAAAGTCGAGATTGACGTCCCGATGTGCGTCCACTCGTGAGTTGAACTGCGCGCCCACTGCAAGTCACAGATGACGGTCTAATCCCCCAATCTCCTTAGCACCCGAATGGTGGTCGTTGAGGTCCTGAAACAAGTATTGGGCGCATTGGTCTGAAACATGCGGTGCAAGAAGGCCGGTTAGATCTGTCGGTTGAAAGAAAGGAACGGGGGGGATAAGGAGGGCCAATTTGGGAGAGGGAGCGGTGAATGACGAGGAGGGGCGGGCGAGGGAGACGCAGGAAATGGAAGAAGGAGAGGGCACGGCGAAGGGGAGTAGGAAAAGCGAGCGAAACCAATACCCAACAGGAACGTGGAATGGCACAGCCGCACTAGGCATGCGCGATCATAGCGAAAGGAGCTGGGGGAACGACTTGCCACCATGTCCTTTGCATCTCCAACAGTCTTGTCCTCTGGCAGGGCTGCCTCCTCCCCTCCTGATGTGGGGCTTCTTCTCGAAGCTTCTGGCAGCCCTCCCCTGGCTTCTGCGAGATCTTCCTCCTCCCCAGCTCCTTCCTCCCCCGCCCTGCACGCATCCCTCTGTGCCTCCCCCCCCCCTCTCTCGCTGCCTCTCTCCCCACCGCCGCCCTCCCCTCCGCCCCGTTCCCCTCCTCCTCCTCCTCCTCCTCCTCCTCCTCCTCCTCCTCCTCCTCCTCCTCCTCCTCCTCGGGCGAACCACGGCTGGGGCAGCAGATCCCCGGCCGTGGAGCTCGGGCGGCCGACAATTTTTCGCCCGTCGCCGCGGCCAGCGGTGCAGGCGGGGCAGCTTGGCCAGGGCGCGGTCTCTCTTGGAGAGGGGTGACGAACCGACAACACACCCCCATACCCATAGGGGGATCGGAGAGGGCTATGGGTGCGTGTTGTCGGATAGGGGTCCCCGCTCGAACGGGAGCGTTCCCCAGGGTCCGACAACCCGCACAACGACCTCCCTGTGGGTATGGGTGTGTGTTGTTCGTTCGTCGAGGGGGGGCGGACGGGTGCGGGACCGCGCCCGTGGAGGCAGTTGGCACGGACGAAAGAACTCTTGCGCGCCGGCGGCTCCGTCGTGTCGGGGAGGGGCGGCGGAGGCGAGGAGGGGCCGGGGGGAGCGAGGGGCGGGAGGCTCAGAGTGGAGTGGAGGGCAGGGTGGAGGAAGGGGGGAATGGACAGTGGGACTGAAGTGGAGGAGGGGCCGGGGGAGCGAGGGACAGGAGGCTCGGAGTGGAGTGGAGAGCAGGGTGGAGGAAGGGGGGATGGACAGTGGGACCGAAGTGGAGAGAAGGAGGTGGGGGAGGGAGGGCTTGTCGTCGCTCGGACGTCCATGTCCTGTGTTTCTGTTCGGTTTCGCGCGTGGTTTTTTCGCCAAATGATCGGGGAAGCTCCTCGATGGTCCTCGCCGAAGGAAAAATGCACACGTCCGAGCGATGCCAAGAGGGAGCAGGACGGGAAGCAAGTGGACAGGAGAAGACAATGAGTGCGGCGCATGTCGAGGCCCGCAGACGGGCCACGCCCAGGGTGAAGGCAGCGAATCCCACAGAGCGAGCCGAGGGCGAAGCTGGCTGGGCCTCCTCCTCCTCCTCCTCCTCCTCCTCCTCCTCCTCCTCCTCCTCCTCCTCTCCTCCTCTCCTCCTCCTCCTCCTCCTCCTCCTTCCTCCTCCTCCCTCCCCCTCCTCCTCCTCCTCCTCCTCCTCCTCCTCCTCCTCCTCTCCTCCTCCTCCTCCTCCCCTCCTCCTCCTCCTCCTCCTCCTCCTCTCCTCCTCCTCCTCCTCCTCCTCCGCCTCCTCCTCCTCCTCCTCCTCCTCCCCCCCCCTCCCCCTCCCCCTCCCCCTCCCCTCCCCTCCTCCCCTCCTCCTCCTCCTCCTCCTCCTCTTCTTTCTCTTCTTCTTCTTATCTTCTTATTCTTCTTATTATTCTTATTCTTCTTCTTCTTCTTCTTCTTCCTCCTCCTCTCTCCTCCTCCTCCTCCTCCTCCTCCTCCTCCTCCTCCTCCTCCCCTCCTCCCCTCCTCCTCCCCTCCTCCTCCTCCTCCTCCTCCTCCTCCTCCTCCTCCTCCTCCTCCTCCTCCTCCTCCTCCTCCTCCTCCTCCTCCTCCTCCTCCTCCTCCTCCTCCCCCTCCCCTCCTCCTCCTCCTCCTCCCCCTCCCCCTCCTCCTCCTCCTCCTCCTCCTCCTCCTCCTCCTCCTCCTCCTCCTCCTCCTCCTCAAGTTGGGAATCAGCGGCTTAAGATGGACCGAGACTGATCGGTCGGTCCATATTCTGCCACGTGAGGCTCTTGGCGAACTCGGTCGCCGCTTTCGCTGAGGCCAACAATCACGAAGGTCAGGGCGTACCACGCAGACGACTCTCAGCATGAGATGGCGCAACACCAGCACCTACATCTAGGGTGAAAGCAGCGAGCAACCCGCCCCTCACTTCGACGAGGATGCCAGGACCTGAGAAGCAGCCCCCCCGATCCTGATCCACGGCCCCTCCTTCCTCCCCTCCTCCCCGTCCGCCCCACCCCGCTCCTCCCGCCTCCGCTCCTCCAAAACGCCAGGCCGGATCTGGCCGTCGCCGGGTCTGGACGCCCATTCCTGAGCATTTTCTCAGGGTGCAAGGCTCAGGGTGAAATCCACATGGGCTTCTGCACCTCGACAATCCATCCGCCCTGTGATTCACCTGTTGCAGATTCGAGCCTCCAAAATCCACCGAAACGGCATTTCAGATTTCACCCTCTGCCCTCCGCCCACGGACAATGCTCGGCATTCGTAGGGGGCAAACAAACCTGCCTCGCTTCTGACCATCCTCGCTTCCAAGAGATACCAAGCGATGCCAAACTGCGGCCTGTACTGGACAGGCCGCCTGACGAGGAGGCGCGTGGTATGACTTGGTTTTGCCTGGAAGCGAAAGCGGGGTAGGTAGTTCACGCTCGGCATTCGGCCGCCCTCCTCGGGGCACGCTACGCTGGCGACGCCCGCGGCTCAGTCCCATGGAGGATCCGCTCGACGGAGGGGACGAGGATAGGGATTGTGCAGTGCATGGCACGGGAGTCCAACCACTGCGATCGATCGATCCACAGAACCCGCGGAGTGATGGCGCCGCCGCGGTGCCCGCCGGCGGGGCGCCGTGCGGCGCCCTCGCGCCGCGCGGCCGCCGCGCGGAGAAGCCCCGGGCGGACCGCGCGCCAGCTCGGGCCGCTCGCGGGCCACGTCGGGCCCTCCTCCTCCTCCTCCTCCTCCTCCTCCTCCTCCTCCTCCTCCTCCTCCTCCTCCTCCTCCTCCTCCTCCTCCTCCTCCTCCCCTCCTCCCCCTCCCCCTCCTCCTCCCCCTCCTCCTCCTCCGCCTCCTCCTCCTCCTCCTCCTGCTTCGCGCCTCCGGCGGCGACGCGCCGTGCACAGAAAAAACACGCCGCCGGCTGCCCAGGGCGGAGGCGGTGTCGGACCCCCACTCTAACCGGCCTCGAACGTATCCCTATCCCTACGATGGGCGAGCAGAAAGCGAGGGCAGTCTTGGGGATGTGCCCTCAGAAACCGAGGGAATCCTTAAGATCGGCATCGAGGTGAAGCGATGTCAAACATAGGGATGGGGATATGTTTCAAACTGGTAGCACTCGCCCGGCCTGCGCCCTGCTTCGCGCCTCCCGCGGCGTGGAGCACCGCGGCCGACGCCCCACGTGGATGGGGGACGCTCTCCAGGACGCGCGCCTTTCGGCCCAGGCCGGCGGCGGGGGTGGGGCACGTGCCGAGGAAGCCGCCGAGGGCCCGACGGTTCAGGCCGCGGCGGAGGACGGAGATCTGGTCTTCACCCTGTCGTTCGAGGGCCTTTCGCAGAGGGCCGAAGCTTTGGTCGAAGCTGGAGGCACGCTGATCGCCAGCCAGTCCGAGATGGACGGACGCCCTCGCAGTGAGGCCCTCGGCCGAGCAATTCGCCGCCGCAGAGGCCGCGACGGCAGCACCGCAGACGAAGGCGCCCACACCCCTCGGCAGCGTGGCGTCGGTGCTCGCCCCGTCCAGCCCGCCGTTCCACGAGTCGACGGCCGACGACGGGGGGATCGCCGACCGCAGATGAAGGCGCCCACACCCCTCCGCAGCACGGCGTCGGTGCTCGCCCCGTCCAGCCCGCCGTGCCACGAGTCGACGGTCGACGACGGGGGGATCGCCGACCGCAGATGAAGGCGCCCACACCCCTCCGCAGCACGGCGTCGGTGCTCGCCCCGTCCAGCCCGCCGTGCCACGAGTCGACGGCCGACGACGGGGGGATCGCCGCGGCTGCGGCGCCCGGGGAGAGGAGCGGGGCTCGAGCGCGGTTGCTTCGGGATGCTCACCTCCTTCGAGGCGTTTGTTTACAAAGAACTCGCATGTCCTCAATGGGGGCAACCAGGCTACTCCACGGAAGCACCACCAAGAAAACAGAGGTGATACGCAGCAGCACCGTCACTGGGCCATGCTCTGGAATCCAGGCGTTGGGGTACTGTCCCCGCGACACGTCAAGGCGAAACTATTGATTTGTTTTCCGAGCGGTTCGATTTCGATTTCGCTTTCTTAACTATTAACTTATTCGGGGGAGCTTCGCTTTCGCTTTCGCTTTCCTAACGGGCGCCGCGGCGACAAGCCCACGGGTCGAGTGGGCAGCCAGAGCCGACAGCGGAGCACTCCCCGGTGGATCGTCGGCTATTCGCCGCTCACGGGCGAACTCCCGCGGCCGTGCAGGGTAGCACTGCGGCCTTCTGGCTCGGCTCGGCATGCCGGCGGTGGGTCTGAGGCCGTCTGGTGTGGGGCTCGCGGGGCGTCTCGGGGGGTCCCTGGGCCTCGCTGGGTCTCCGTCCCCGTGGGGGTGGGGCAACGCCTGGTCGCGACAGGTTCCTCTCCTCCTTCTCCGACCTATCTTTCGACTTCTACATCTACTTCCCAAGCCGGGGAACGTCTGTGACACACGCCGGGCAGCAAAAGCCTCACGCAATAAGTACGAGGGGCACGCGTGAGACACGCGACATTGCGAGCAATCGCACTCCTCTCTCCTCCTACAGTCGAGGCATTGACCTAAGGAACCCTACATGAGGAACGAGGCCCATTTTTCCCATAATCAACCTCAATTTCCCATGGGCAACCTCAGGAAAACCCGAGGCAAACTTTGAAACAATCAAGGAACACCGAGCCCCTCCCCAACGAAAAGGGTTCCTTCTTCAGCGCCCCGACTGTATGAGGGGCACACGCGAGACACACGACATTGCGAGCCATCGCGCTCCTCTCTCCTCCTATCTCCCCTTTCCCTCCTCCCTCTCCTTAGGGGGAGGAGGAGGAGGAGGAGGAGTTTTTTTTTTTTTCCTTCTTCTACCGCTTGCGCACGCACCAAATCCATGTGTCTGGTCCGTTCTGTCAGCGAGCACTGGGCACCGTGCAATCTGGCATGCGTAGGGCGGGGGGGGAGCAGCAGCGCAGGGCCAAGAGAAGCGGCGGCGGGTACTCTGCTCCGAGCGTACAGGATCCCTGGCGGGCGCGCGCCCCCCCAAGGCGCACCGTCCAAAAGGGGGTCACACACTCGAGCATCCTCCCCTTGCCACGCTCACTCCTCGGCTGACCGAGGGCCCAACCCACAGCGCAGCAGGCAGAATCAGACAAAAGGGGCACGCCCCAAAAAACGAGAAACCAACACGCAGAACGAGGGGCAACCAGCCAGCTGGCCCCCAAAGTGCCACGAACTTCGTCGGGAACCTGAGGGCGAGAGGGGAGCGCTCCCTCGCGCGGAGCGGCAGCCGGGGTGCCTCGAACTTCGTCGGGAACCTGAGGGCGACGGCAGGGCGCGGCGGAAGGGGGGGGCCTCCTCCGCGCCAGACGCAACGGGTGTCTGGATGCGCCACGGCTTGGCGTCGCGGGAAGGCCTGCCCTCCCCCCAGGAGCGACGATCAATCGACGCCCGAACGAACCAGACCGCCCGCCCGTCCGAGAACCTGTGGAAGTACAAGGACAGCAAGAGAGGCGGGCAGGCAAAAGAAGCGGGGCAGCCGCGGGGCGGGCGGCAGGAGAAAGGCTGGGGGGCGGCGGCGCGGCAAGAGAGGCACTCTCTCACGCGTGTTGGCCAACCCAACTGTCAACGTGCCTCTCCCAAAAGAACGCACGAAGCTGCACCGCGCCATCTTCACCTGCGAGCGGAGAGGGTCACAGTGAGCACTGAGCAGCGCCCGCAACCCAGGCGACAACACGGGGCCCTGAATTAACCAAGAAACGTAACTGAGCGGAAGGAAAGCACAACAGAAAGAAAAAACATCGGAAAACCAGCCAGCCAACCAGAGAGACCCACCAGGGTCACATCAAACTCTGACAGCATCATGCATGTACCTATACCTAGTGGGCCACAGGGAAAAGGGGAGACATAAATGGGGGACACGGCCAACTCAGGGGGGGAGGGGCGCGGCAGGGGGAGCAGGGGGGGCAGGGGGAGGGGCGGAAGCAGCAGCATTCAAACGCAGCGCACGCAACGCCTCATTAAGCTTGGGGTGCCGACGAGACAACTGCCGAAGCCTGGCTTTAATGAGAAATTCCCCTGGCTGGACCGAGCCCGTCCTGCGAGCATTATGCGCGGCCAGAAAGCAATCAATTAGGGCGCGCCCCACTAGGTCACGCGACCGCCCCCACTGTGGCCCCAAACAACAAAGAGTGAGGAGCCAATCCTCGCCCGTTAGAGCCGCGGTCCAAGGCCTCAGAAGTCCACCACGGGGGAAAATGCCAATCAACCCTGCCTTCAACTTGGGGCACACGCGATAATGCCTCAGATCGTCGTCGGCCACTTCCAGAGGACGCCCAAACGCACAGCCCATCGCCATGGTATGCAGACGACTGGAGGTACATGCCCCACGGCAGAGCACTCTTAGGACCCCCGTGACGAGGTGCATCGTGCTGTCCTTCTCAACTTTACGCATCCTCTGGGCAAGCACCTGAAAGTCAGCTGCCGGAAACGGCCGGGACCCACCCACTTGGACACCCTCTGAACCATTGTGCGGAGGGGGACAGTGGGGTCACGGAGCCCTCTGAGTTTGCGCATCGCTTTCTTCTGAAGGGATTTCTTGGGGATGGGTTCCAGGGTCGGGACCGTGAAATTGCCTACTTCAGTCACCGTAGTCCAGATCCAGGAAGATTTCCACCAGGGCCAGTACAGGCGAGCGGGAATGCAGTTATCGTCGTCCAGGGAAACCGCCAACGACTCCATCTCATACTGGACTGCATCAATACTGGAGCAAGACATCAACACCCGAAACTTGATAGTCTCCGAAAAAAAATCGATATCCAAGCATTCTAGGCTTTCCGAAGAGCCGCGGTCACTGGACAAAGTTGCAACTGGTGCGCCAAAAACGACATGCAGTGCGAGTGGAAAAGGCGCATGGTCTGTGGAAGCCCCAGCCCAAGCCCACGAAGCCTCCGAACCGTCATCCAGAACTCGGGGATGGTGTTGCTCCATAC